AAAAAAAAAAACAGTTGGCACCCCCGAGAAGGTTTCACACTCTTAAAAACACAGTTGGGACCCCTGAGAAGGTTTCACATTGTTAAAAAAAAGACATTTGGCGCCCCCGAGAAGATTCTACATTTTAAAAAAAGATAATTGGGACGCCCGAGAAGGTTTCACACTCTTAAAAAGAGAGTTGGGGGCCCTGACCAGGTTTCACATTGTTAAAAAAAAACCATTTGACGCCCCCGAGCAGGTTTTACATTTAAAAAAAGACACTTGGTACCCCCGAGAAGGTTTCACATTCTTAAAAAGGCAGTTGGGACCCCTGAGAAGGTTTCATAATAATAAAAAAAAAAACATTTGGCGCCCCCCGAAAAGGTTTAACATTTAAAAAAATATACATTTGAGATCTTCCAGGTTTATCATTTTTAAGAAAAGACAGTCGGGACTCCCGAAAAGGTTTAATATTCTTAAAAAAATACACTTGGGCCCCCCGAAAAGGTTTCGCCCTCTTTAAAAACGGACAGAGAAGGTTTCACATTCTTAAAACGACAGTTGGGACCCCTGAGAATGTTTCACATTCTTAAAAAAGACACTTGGGACCTCCGAGGTTTCATTTTTTTAAGAAAATACAGTTGGTACTCCCGAGGTTTAATATTCTTTAAAAAATACACTTGGGGCCCCCGAGAAGATTTCACATTGTTAAAAAAAGACATTTGGCGCCCCCCAGAAGGTTTAACATTAAAAAAAAATACATTTGGGACCTCCGAGGTTTCATATTTTCAAGAAAAGACAGTTGGGACTCCCGAGAAGGTTTAATAATCTTAAAAAAACCTTTTGGCGCCCTCGAGGAGGTTTTACATTTTTAAAAAAGACAATTGGGTCCCCGAGAAGGTTTCACATTCTTAAAAAGACAGTTGGGACCCATGAGAAGGTTTCACATTGTTAAAAAAAGGCATTTGGCGTCCCCGAGAAGGTTTAACATTAAAAAAGAATACATTTGGGACCTCCGAGGTTTCATACTTTTAAGACAAGACAGTTGGGATTCCCGAGAAGGTTTAATATTCTTAAAAAAATACACTTGGGCCCTTCGAGAAGATTTCGCCTTCTTTAAAAATGGACAGTTGGTCCCCTGAGAAGGTTTCACTTTCTTGGAAAAAAACAGTTGGGATCCCTGAGGTTTCACATTTGTTAAAAAAAGACGTTTGGCGCCCCCGAGAAGGTTTTATATTTATAAAAAAGACAATTGGGACCCCCTAGAAGGTTTCACATCCTTAAGAAATACATTTGGGGCTCACGAGAAGGTTTCACATAAAAAAAAAACAGTTGGCACCCCCGAGAAGGTTTCACACTCTTAAAAACACAGTTGGGACCCCTGAGAAGGTTTCACATTGTTAAAAAAAAGACATTTGGCGCCCCGAGAAGATTATACATTTTAAAAAAAAATAATTGGGACGCCCGAGAAGGTTTCACACTCTTAAAAAGAGAGTTGGGGGCCCTGACCAGGTTTCACATTGTAAAAAAAAAAAAAAAACATTTGACGCCCCCGAGCAGGTTTTACATTTAAAAAAAGACAGTTGGTACCCCCGAGAAGGTTTCACATTCTTAAAAAGGCAGTTGGGACCCTTGAGAAGGTTTCATAATAAAAGAAAAAAAAACATTTGGCGCCCCCGAGAAGGTTTAACATTTAAAAAAATATACATTTGAGATCTTCCAGGTTTATCATTTTTAAGAAAAGACAGTCGGGACTCCCGAAAAGGTTTAATATTCTTAAAAAAATACACTTGGGCCCCCCGAAAAGGTTTCGCCCTCTTTAAAAACGGACAGAGAAGGTTTCACATTCTTAAAACGACAGTTGGGACCCCTGAGAATGTTTCACATTCTTAAAAAAGACACTTGGGACCTCCGAGGTTTCATATTTTTAAGAAAATACAGTTGGTACTCCCGAGGTTTAATATTCTTAAAAAAATAAGAAGATTTCACATTGTTAAAAAAAGACATTTGGCGCCCCCCAGAAGGTTTAACATTAAAAAAAAATACATTTGGGGCCTCCGAGGTTTCATATTTTCAAGAAAAGACAGTTGGGACTCCCGAGAAGGTTTAATAATCTTAAAAAAAACTTTTGGTGCCCTCGAGGAGGTTTTACATTTTTAGAAAAGACAATTGGGTCTCCGAGAAGGTTTTACATTTTTAAAAAAGACAATTGGGTCCCCGAGAAGGTTTCACATTCTTAAAAAGACAGTTGGGACCCCTGAGATGGTTTCACATTGTTAAAGAAACACATTTGTCGCCCCTGAGAAGGTTTTACACTTTTTTAAAAAGACAATTGGGACGCCCGAGATGGTTTCACATTCTTAAAATGACAGTTGGGACCCCTGAGAAGGTTTCACATTCTCAAAAAAAAAAGACATTTGGCGCTCCCGAGAAGGTTTAACATTTTCAAAAAATACATTTGGGACCTCCGAGGTTTCATATTTTTAAGAAATGACAGTTGGTACTCCCGAGGTTTAATATTCTTAAAAACATACACTTGCCCCCCCCCCTCCCCCCCAGAAAGTTTCGGCCTCTTTAAAAACGGACAGTTGGGACCCCTGAGAAGGTTTCACATTGTTAAAAAAAGGCATTTGGCGCCCCCGAGAAGGTTTAACATTTAAAGAAAATACATTTGGGACCTCCGAGGTTTCATATTTTTAAGATAAGACAGTTGGGATTCCCGAGAAAGTTTAACATTCAATACACTTGGGCCCCTCGAGAAGGTTTCGCCTTCTCTAAAAATGGACAGTTGGTCCCCCTGAGGTTTCACTTTCTTGGAAAAAAACAGTTGGGATCCCTGAGGTTTCACATTTGTTAAAAAAGACGTTTGGCGCCCCCGAGAAGGTTTTATATTTATAAAAAAGACAATTGGCACCCCCTAAAAGGTTTCACATCCTTAAAAAATACATTTGGGGCTCACGAGAAGGTTTCACACTCTTAAAAACACAGTTGGGACCCCTGAGGTTTCACATTAGTTAAAAAAAGACGTTTGGCGTCCCCGAGAAGTTTAACATTAAAAAAAATACATTTGGGACTTCCAAGGTTTCATATTTTTAAGAAAAGACAGTTGGGACTCCCGAGAACGTTTAATATTCGTAAAAAAAGACACTTGGGGTCCCCGAGAAGGTTTCACTTTCTTAAAAAAAGACAGTTGGGACCCCTGAAAAGATTTCACATTGGTAAAAAATGACATTTGGCGCCCCCGAGAAGGTTTTACATTTTTAAAAAAGACAATTGGGACCCCCGAGAAGATTTCACATTAAGAAAAATACATTTGGGGCTAGCGAGGTTACAAATTAAAAAAAAAAAAAAACAGTTGGTACCCCCGAGAAGGTTTCACATTCTTAAAAAGACAGTTGAGACTCCCCAGAAGGTTTTACATTTTCAAAAGAGACATTTGAGACACCGGAGAAGATTTCACATAAAAACATTTGGGGCTCTTGAGAAAACTTTGCATTAAAAAAAAGAGGGTTGGAACCCTCGAGAAGGTTTTACATTTTTAAATAACGTACACCACAGTTATAACAGTGGAAAAACAAGTGGAGTTATCGATGAAATAAAAGCGGGAGTAACTTCTACGATCCGAAATCTACAAGAAAATGTATTTCGTGAAATTTCGAAAATTTCGTTGAAAATTGGTCGAAAATTGGTCGCATTTTGCATAAATTTGTACTTTTCAAAGGACGATTCTGGAAAAACCATTGGAATTTTCTAAGAAATGAAAGCCGGAGTGACTTCTACGGACTAAAATCTACAAGAAAATGTATTTAGTGAAATTTCGAAAATTTCGTTGAAAATTGATTGTATTTTGCATATTTTTGAACATTTTAAAGGACGATTCTGGAAAAACCATTGGAGTTTTCTAAGAAATGAAAGCCGGAGTGAATTCTACGGCCCAAAATCTACAAGAAAATGTATTTAGTGAAATTTCGAAAATTTCGTTGAAAATTGATTGTATTTTGCATATTTTTGAACATTTTAAAGGACGATTCTGGAAAAACCATTGGAGTTTTCTAAGAAATGAAAGCCGGAGTGACTTCTACGGCCCAAAATCTACAAGAAAATGTATTTAGTGAAATTTCGAAAATTTCGTTGAAAATTGGTTGAAAATTGGTCGTATTTTGCATAGATTTGTACTTTTCAAAGGACGATTTTGGAAAAACTATTGGAGTTTTCTAAGAAATGAAAGCCGGAGTGATTTCTGCGGCCCAAAATCTACAAGAAAATGTATTTAGTGAAATTTCGAAAATTTCGTTGAAAATTGGTCGCATTTTGCATAGATTTGTACTTTTTAAGCACGATCTGGAAAAACCATTGGAGATGTCGAAGAAATGAAAGCGGGAGTGACTTATACGGCCCGAAATTTACAAGAAAATGTATTAAGTGAAATTTCAAATCAAATCAAATAAACATAGAATTCTTTCAAATGACATTATCAAATTGTTGGTGGGAATGATTAGTAAAATTTTGGTTAGCATTTAACCATCTACATGATATTTCTAATATAAATACAGAATTTGACAAAGAGAAGACAATTTTTACTTTAATTATTAAAATTTACCTTACAAAACAAAACTAGTTAAAAAAAAAACAGATTTTAACAAAAGTTTCAATGCGTAAATGAATATGAATATATTTAAACATTAATTTTAATAAGCTTAAAAACCCGTAATCGACTACATAGTTTGTTCAATTAGTCAATGTGGAATTTATGATTAATTCTGATTCATTACGAATTTGTTGTAGCCGACACTTCACTGTTATCGTCCTAACACACTTTTTAATCGTTAAAAAAGTACACATTGAATACAGTACATAATGAATTAGTTTTAATTCAACAATCTATGTTATAACTTAAAAAAAACTAGCTATAAAACATAAAATATACTGAATATTAAATATTTCTACAAACTCAATGGAATGCTTAATATGGTGAAACATCATCTGAACTAAAATTAAAAGCAAACATTGACTAGACCTACCTTAGTTGGATGATTGGGATATCTATTAGGAACTGATAAATGATTCTGCAACAAAAATAAAAAAAGAAAACATGCAAACGAAAGTGTTCACAAAAACGCATGCAAAGCAACAAATTAAATCTAAAGAAAAAAGTATCGACATACCGAGTGTGCGTGTGATGGATGTGTAAAATGAAAACGGCCTTGTCGTACTCCTTGAGGTATACTTGTGGGGGATAAAGTAGATGGACTTGCATTTACAGGACTCTGGAAATAAGCACAAGGACTCTAATCTAGTCTAATTAGAAACTATTATACTTATGTACTGCAATACGGGAATTGTCCTAAGACAGTTAGACTACTTACAGAACTATATGGTGAACTCCCTTGATCTAAGTCTTGATCTAAGGGTACGCGGATCGGCGACGTAAAATTTACGTTGGTTAAATCCGGTAGAGATCCCGTATTATTACCGCCAATGGGTATTTGGACAGCTCCCGGTACATGTGCTGAAGGATATATGCTAAAAACATTTTCGGTTAATGTTAATGTACCTAAAATGAGTGAATAATCTTACTGTATACCAGGTACGCGAGGAACCTCGCAACTCGACCTCGGTCGTCCCTCATTTCTTTCTGGGCCATTCATATTTGGCAACATCCATCTATTATTACAGTTTTCGTTTCGTTCGGAATTCATGTCCTACAACATACACTTCAGAATTGGAAAGATCGCAGACACACTATATCATGCCTGCATAGCACTTTGGTGCAATGCGGAATCACTATGTGTACGTCTCCAACTTGTATCGTGCGGAGGACTTAAAAATGTACTACTGGAATAGGGTGATGTGTCTAGCCTTCTGTCATGAGGCCTTCGAATTGGTCCTCCTTGAGAACGTGCTCTACTGCCCGGTCGATAATTTACCATGTTGGCATTTGCCGCTTCATCCTGAAACAAATTGTGCATACATTAGAAAAACAAAAACTTTTTACAACACTATAACTTTTTTATTTTCATATTTAACAGAATTATAAAAAAATCATTGTAATTGTTGTGTTTTTCTTTAGGGCGGTACAGCAGTCACTTTTCTTTAAGGGTCCCCAATCGCCAACCCAAAGTACCAACCGCAGGTTATTCGATTTTTCTACTTTCGACGTTTCAATTTTTTTGTACTTCGGTTTCTCCATTTCGATTTTTCAATTTTCCGACGTTTCAATGATACAATTTCTCAATTTTTTACTCTTCAATTTTACGATTTCTAAATATTTCGATTTTTCAATTTTTCAAATTTTGACGTTTCTAAATTTTCAGTTTTCCGATTTCTGAAGTAATCTTTTTTTGATTTTCCCAAAGTTTCGATTTTTCACTTCTTCAATTTTTCGATTTTTCAGGTTTTTGATGTTTCAATTTTTCAATTTCTCAGGATTTTGATTTTTCAATTTTTCGATTTTATAAGCTTGCGATTGTTCGACTTCTGGATTTCCCGATTTTTAGTTTTTCGTTTTTTAAGCTTTTGATTTTTCAATTTTTAAAATTCTAGATTTTTGATTTCTCGAGTTTTCGGTTCTTCTATATTTCAATTTTTCAATTTTCGGGATTTTTGAAATTTTCGATTTTCCATCTTTTTTTAACTTTTCGATTTTCCAATTTTTCGATGTTTCGATTTTTCAATGATATATTTTTTTTTTATTTTTTCATGTTGGGATTACACAATACTGCTAAAACATAAAAATAACTACTTTAAAAAAAAATCCATTTCATGATTACGGTTCCACTAGTTTTGCTAATTTAGGACGTTTTGTTTGTATCAAACACAATTAAAGAATTAATTCTTAGTTAAACAAAAAAATTTAAATATTGCATAATTCAACGAGACGATAAATTTTGGGCATATAATATGAAAGAGCCCCTAGAAAAATTTTATTTATATGCCTTACTTTCGGAGATAGTAGATTCTCGTTATAAAAGAAGTCAACTCATCAGACAAATTCTAAAAAAAAAAAAATGTAAATTTAAAAAAATTTATTTGCATTAATAGTAATAATAATGGAATAAGTCTACTGGAGATACCACGTAAAAAACGCCCCTATAATACTTTACCTCATAGGTGGTGCGGAAAAGAGTATGAAAAAATTAAATTTAAATAAATGTGATTGTTCAGGTAAATAACTGGTTAGTGAAGTAATGAGAATCTAAATCTTGCCAGTTTTGTGTATTGATTCATATATAAAATGACAGATTATTAAAAAAAATTTGAATAATTTTTTGAAAGAAAATATTTTAGTAAAATGTATCAAATTATAAAAATTTGCATAATTTTAAATCAAAAACTCGTTCTCTCCTCGTCTAAAAATGGAATTTCCTTTGAAGAATGAACGATTAATTAAACACTAAACAATCACTTATTTTAAAAAATATTGTGTCTTCCCCAGAGATTCAGACATAATAATGTCCAGGAATAATTTGCAAGTACCTAATTTGTACACAAAATTTTGGTGTACTATCTTTATGTAGTTGAAAGAGTCGAACAAATACAACTTCGAAAAATTATCATCAACTTTAACTTTGAGAATTCTTTTTTTATCGTACCTATATATTTATAGTCACTTTTTCCGTATATAACTATATATATATTTTTTTGATAACGTCATTTAAATTTTAGCAAGGGCACATATATCAATTTAGTATTAATAGAGTCCTTAGAGTTTTGGCACCCTTGGAATCCTCGAAATCTTTGAAATTTAGGTAAGACTTTGAACTTTCACAGTATTTGGAATATTTTCACAAATTCACTAAAATGTTTAGAATTTCTAGAATTGAGTACATTTTTTAAATTTACAAAAGTTCCATATTTTCTAAATGTTATAAAAACATAAGTCTTCGGATATGCCAGAATTCAACATTTTCCTCAATTTTCAAGATTTCTAGGTCTTCCACATTTTTCATTTCACACTTTCTAGACATTTCAAAATTTTCTAAAATTAATAGACCCCAAGAATAGAATCTTTGAAATTTTTGGAATATCTGAAATCTTTAGAATCTCTGAGATGTATAAGATGATAATTAGGGTGTTCAAGACCCCTAATACTTATAGGATTTATAAAAATGAAAGGAAGCATTCTTCAGATTTTTAGGATTTTTGTTTTGTTTAGTCTTTGGAATCTTTAAAATTTTTGTCATGTTAAAAGTTCATGCATTTTTCACAAATTATAGAATCTTTGAAATATGTATTTGGAACAGAATTTTAAAGATCTTTTTAATGTTTGAGCCTTTAAGAGTATTTAGAATCTTCGAGTTTTCAGTTTTAAAAATCTTTGGAAATTTGGATACTTTCGAATTAAATTTTATAAAGTTTATAATTTTTATACTTTCCAGGAATATTAATACTTCGAAGATGTTTACAATTTTTAAGATTTTGTTGGATGTTTCTTCTATTTAGAACCTAAAACTTTAGTTTATCTAGCATCTTTGGTGTCTTTACAATTCGCAAATTCTAGTGTGTATGAAAACTTCAAAATCTTTAGAATGTGTCGAGTCTTTAGAAATTTTGAAAGGTTTGGAACCTGTTAAATATTTCAAACATTTGGAAATTTTGAGATTTAATATTTTTTTATTTTCTTTTATTTTTTGGGAATCTTCGAATTTGCAAAATTTTCAAAATTTCTAGTATGTTCAGATTTTCCTGATTAGCCCAATTTTTCAGATTTTTCGAACTACATTTTACCTTGTTGTGGAATGCAAAACATGTTTTAAGTACCGTGTTATTGAAAGAAAAATGTCTATATTTAGAAAAAATGGGGGCATGATTGAGCCCCACCCACCCGCCCGTACATGAAATGTGATGCATTTTTCATTCGTTGTCAGTTCGAGGGGTGGAGCTTAATTACAAAATCCATATTTCTTTAGAAAAAATTATCATTTTAAACATGTTTCAAGTTTCTCATTACGAAAAGATGACTACGTATATTAAGGAAAAAAAGACTCAATATCAGCCCCGCCCTTTCAGTTGTGATAAATTTTTTTATTAGTCGTGAGCCTGGGGGCGGAGCGTAATTGGAAAATCATTTTAAACTTGGTAGAAGTTTCTAAGAATAAAAGAAATCATCACAATTGAGATGGGGTGGGTGGGCGGGGTTTATATTTTGCCTGTTTATCTTAATATACATGGTATTTTTAACAAGATACACAAAAACATGTTTTTAATTTCCTGTAAAGAAATAAGTATTTTTCAGTTAAGATCCGCCCCCTTGGTTCACGACGAATAAAAAAAATCATCACAATTGAGACAGGGTGGGTGGGCGGGCTTAGATTTTGCCTTGTTGTGGAATGCAAAACATGTTTTAAGTATCGTGTTATCGAAAGAAAAGTGTCTATATTTAGAAAAGATGGGGGCATGATTAAGCCCCACCCACCTGCCCGTACGTGAAATGTGATGCATTTTTCATTCGTTGTCAGTTCGAGGGGTGGGGCTTAATTACAAAATCCATATTTCTTTAGAAAAAATTATCATTTTAAACATGTTTTAAGTTTCTCATTACGAAAAGATGACTACGTATATTAAGGAAAAAATGACTCAATATCAGCCCCGCCCTTTCAGTTGTGATGAATTTTTTTTATTAGTCGTGAGCCTGGGGGCGGAGCGTAATTGGAAAATCATTTTAAACTTGGTAGAAGTTTCTAAGAATAAAATAAATCATCACAATTGAGATGGGGTGGGTGGGCGGGGTTTATATTTGGCCTGTTTTTCTTAATATCACATTTTCCAAAATTTCTAAACTTATCAGGCTCCAGTTATGCCAGAATTTTGAAATTCAACCATTTCCAATATTTTCAAGTCTACACATTTTTCACACTCTTTCTAAATTTTTTAAGATTTTCTAAAATTTATAAATCTCAAGAGTCCAAATCTTTGAAATTTTCGAAATCTCTGGAATCTTTACAGTTTCCAAGATTCATAAGATAATAATTAGGGTTCAACGCCTTCAGTGCTTTTAGGATTTATAAAAATTACAGAAAATATTTTTCCGATCTTTACGATTTTTAGGTCTTTCATTCATTTTAAGAATTCACACGATTTTTACAAGTTTTAGAATCTTTGGCTTTGGGAATTTCTCTAGGATCTTTAGAATCTTTCAAGTATTCGAAACAGAATTTTAATTTTTGACCCCTTAGGACCCTTATTAGAGTCTTTAGATCCCTCACAGCCTTTAAATTTTTTTTTTATTGACAACTTTGATACCATCAGGTTAAAACAGCATTATTATTTTTATCAAATTCAAGGACCACAATTTTCGTTATTTATACCAACGTAGATCTTTACTGGGAAATCATCAGAAAAGACGATAATTTTTGGAAAAATCATATGAGCCTAAAATTACAAAATTTTATTCTCATCATTTCTACCTGAACTTCTAGATTCGAGGAAACAAAAAAAGGCTCAGATTCAGAATTGGCTCTTATGTATTGTCCTCTCACATCCAACGATGTTACAAAAATATATATATCATATTTGAAAAAAGTACTACCTTATTTCAAATATAATGTTGTGTTTATGTGAAATAACTTTACTTGATTTACAAAGTAAAAAATTATAGTCCTGACAGACTAGTTGGTTAACATTTCTTTCGTGGACAATATCCCACTTTACCCATTTGTACAATAAATAACTATTATCAAATTGCATTAAAAGACAGCGGCTAAACACAAAGTTTGTTAATAATCTTGCACCCTTTTTTTTTTAAATCTGTGTATGTTAATGATGTAACCAAAGAGTTAAATATTCAAAATACTAAAGCTACTAATGTAAGTAATAAAATGGCATCTGGTACAAACTCAACGTACTACCAGATTTCAGACAACACTAATAAATAATTACATCATCAATGCTGAAGTGGAGTCGTTTGAAACGCGAAATTGCTATTTCTACTGCAACAAAGCAAAAATGATAA